GCTGCCGTGCCCCCCTCCGTCCTGAGGCGCCCCCCACTTGGCAGCTCCCCCCACGCCTGGGGAGCTGTGCGGCAGCTCCCCGCCCCAGCTCACCTCTGCTCTGCCTCCTCCCCAAGCACGCCGTCGCTGCTCCACTTCTCCCACCTCCCAGGCTTGCGACGGCGCAATCCTGGGAGGGAGAGAAACAGAGCCGGGCACTGTGCTCAGGGGAGGAGGCGGAGCAGAGGTGAGCTGGGGCGGGGAGCAGTTCTCCTGCGTGCCACCCCCCCCCTTACTTGCTGCAGGCGGCCCTCCCCACGCCCCCCTGCCTCAGCTCCCACTGCCTAAATGACGACGACGACTGGGGCGGCCGAAGATCCGGCCGCCGCCGAAGGACCCAAAATGCTGCTCCCCAAATGCTAGCAACCGCCTAGGTCGCCTAATGGGTTGCACCGGCCCTGCCTACAGAGGCTCCTCCGGCCCCTGCTTGGGGAGAAAGGACTCGGTGAGTACCACTGGAGAACCTAAAGAGGCGGGGGGCAGGGGTGTTCTGTCTTCTGCATAACCCAGGATAAAAGGTATCAGGCATATTTAGGACAAAGAGGTGAAAGGTAAGTATTACTGAACGTTGTAGCATTCGCATGTTAACAAACCGGCTGAGCCTGTGTGTATGGTGCTGATGCTGATGTTTTGAATATAACTGCAGAGTTTCCACACTAATGTCTATGAAAGATAGTAGATGCCACAAGACAAACACTGCTTGTCAGGGTGAAATGTTCGAGACTTCCTTAAGGTAACCACCTGTGACTACCACGCTAAGGTGACGTAAATATTAATGAGTTAGCCTATGAAAGATGGGGCACCCCAAAAGTAGTGAGGTGTGGAAGCACCGCTTTACCAGACTGCAGCGTGTGCATTGTTTGGTCGATTAATAAAGGGAATTATTATGGAAAGAGCACTACAGAGTCTCTTGTGCACGGTGGGGCCCCTTGTGGTGGTAACCTCTCTCCTGTAAGCTGTCTCAGAGGCTGGCCCTTGGGGTGGGAATTGGTTAAAGTAAACACAAACTATAAATCAGGGATTCTCAAACTGGGGGTTGCGAGGTTACTACATGGGGGGTCGCGAGCTGTCACCCTCCACCCTAAACCCTGCTTTGCCTCCAGCATTTATAATGGTGTTAACTATATAAAAAAGTGTTTTTAATGCATAAGGGGGAGGGTCGCAATCAGAGGCTTGCTGTGTGAAAGGGGTCACCAGTACAAAAGTCTGAGAACCCCTGCTATAGATAAGGCTACATTCAGGGCCTTGGGCCTCCAGTGCAGGGTGTTCTCAGCTGGGATTCCAAGGGAGCGGCACCAGCCTGAACAGGGGCTGCTCTCAGTCAAGGTCCTGGCTGGGGCAAGGGCACCCCTCCCACACACAGACGTCCTCTCACCTGGAGACGTGGAGCAGTGCTGCTCCAAAGTGGGGCACAGCCAGGAGCAGGTGCCTGCCCAGAGCTTCCTGGCGTCTCAGCAGCTGCAGGTGCTTCACATTCTGCCACCAGCTACGGGGGAAGGAGGGTGAGACTAGGAGCTGTGCCGTGCTGGAGGCAAGAGACACTGCACATCCACAAGGGGCTCCATCCCGACCTGCTGCTATTGGTCCCACCCTGCCCACATCCCTGGGCTCCAGCCCATGTGCCTGCAGCCAGAACCGCTGCTAATGGGGGCCAGCCAACCTAATACCTCAGGTCCTGCCCCAACACATGCAATATAGGCCCCCTGCATCCAGGGCTCAGGCCTCCAGGTCCCATCCTGCAGGCCCTCAAGCCTCATCCTCCCAGCACTGTGTGGAGGTTGGGATCCCTCGCAGGTTCCTCTACAGTGCCCATCAGCAAGGGGCACCCACCACTCACCGGGCAAAGGCTTTGCGGACGAGGCAGTGCTTGAAGAAGGGGATGCACTGGAGTAGCTGCCACAGCGTGGCCTCTCGGTGCCACTCTCCAAGTGTCAGGGCCTCAGCACCTTCTTCAGGGTGCACATGGAGTACCCCAAAAGGGGAGAAGACATAGTGCTGGGGGTTGGCCTGGCGCTTAGGAACCACAACCAGGTCGTAGGGCCTGTACGGAGAAAGGAAGATACCAAGGCCTGCATGGAAAGAGGAAGCAGGGCCAGGCTGCTCCACCCATCCACACATCCCCCTGCCCCTACCCACTGAGCCCTGCAGCACCAGGGGGGGCACCAGGCCTGACATCCCAGAGGCTAACACAGCACTAGGGAAGTGCCTGGCAGTGTGGGTGCAGGGGGGTGAGTTTGGGGTGCAGTTACCTGAAGTGCCTGTTGGGGGCAATGTTGAGGTAGACAAAGTTGATTTTCCTCAGGTGCCTGTTCCTCACAAAAATCTCAGCAGCCTGGAGCCCTGTCAGGGACTGCCAGGAGAAGCCCTGCTCTCCTTCCACCACCTGTGGGGCGGGTGCAGCAGCCTCTCGGCCTGGGTCTGGAAGGAGCCTGCAGTGAAGACAGGATGACTGTGAGAGCTCCAGGGCAGAGGTCACCCCATGTCCAAAGCCAGCTCCCTCTCCATGGTGCAGGCGGGGCGGGAGGACAGCTGGGATGCCACACTCCGCTCACACTCACTCCCCAGCAGGATCTGGACCATTAGACCACCATACAGTGAGCACTGGAAAAAATAACTAGGACTCCTGGCTGCCCAGTTCCCCTGAGCGAACTCCCCTCCCAGAGCTGAAAACAGAACCCAGGAGTCCTGGCTCACTGTCCCCACCACCAGTTGGCAGGCTCTCTGGGGAGTACAGTCCAGCGTCCCTGTGGCCCTGGGGAAGTGGGAGTGTGCATGATCCCTGGACTCTGCGGGGCCCACGAGAGCAGCCCATGCGCTGGGGGAGGACATTGGAGCCTGGGGCCAGGATTTGGCGGAGGAAGCCCTTACCTCAGCTCGGCACAGCAATACTTCACAGGCACCTCTGTACCAAGGGCGAGGGACATGAGGCCCAGGCCGCTTTTCCACTGGGTCTCGTCCTGAGCCAGCTCCATGCCCACCAGACCCACACATCTCTGCAGCTCCTGCAAAGACACTGGGCCTGGCTGGCACACGGCTGCTGGTTCTTCGACCTCCTGCTCTAGGACAAAGGGGCAGGGCTGCCCTGCGAAGGCTGGCTCGGAGCCAACAGGGAGCAGATTGGCTGGGAGCACTGGATCCCTGCCGTGTGCAGCAAGTGGATGGGCACACAGCTCTGAGTGGTCCCTGGGGAAGGCCTGGCCCACGGCTCCCAGGACATCTAGGTCAGACACGAGGGCCTGACTGCGGCGGTACTGGTAACAGAGGCTCTCCAGGTAGGGCAGCAGTTCCTCCCGGCAACGCAGCTGCTCCCGGAAGGGGCTGAGGAGCTGCAGGACATCCAGCAGGTGCAGCCAGGCACTTCGGCTGCTCCTCTGCAGCACCTTCGCAAACACAGCGACCAGCTCTGCCACGAGCGCGTCCAGGTGCTGGGGATCAGGCCTCCCCGTCTCTCGGAGCTGGGCAGCAAGGCGCTGGCGGACATCCCAGGCCCAGCCATGGTCTGCTGGCTGGGAGCTCCTGGGCTCTCTGCCACCTGCAAAGGGACAGAGTCATGAGCTAGGGCCAGGAGAAGTGAGCAAGTGCTCAGCCCAAGGCTGAGGGGGCCCCCTATGCTGCCCACACCCAGCTGCACTGTACTGCGGGGCCAGATTCCCTCCCACATATGTGATCTTTGGCGGCCTATCGGTGTTTCACGGCTTCAACAGGATCCCCTGATACAGGCTGCACATGGTACTATTGGGGGACTTCCGGCTTGCGAGGAGTTGGAAAATGAAGTGAGAGCTGAGTGACAACTAGTCTATGGTCTGAGTGTGCGGGGGATTCTGCGCTGCTGAAGACCTGGTGAAAGGCTAGTGGTGTTCCTTATGTGCTGTCAGCACCAAATCCTGAGCATAAAGCGGTTTGACTTTGTGCAAAATGTCACTATCTTACAGATCTGGCCATTTAGAGGTCTGGGGCAAAAATCTGTCTGGGGATTGGTCCTGCTTTGAGCAGGGGGTTGGACTAGATGACCTCTTGAGGTCCCTTCCAACCCTGATATTCTAGGATTCCTTCAGATGCTCATTATACTCAAAAGCAGGGTTGCGTGTCTTCAGCCATGTTACCAGGATGGACAAAAATACCCCAGCGTACCGTGTTCACGTGGAAAGGGGTGGATGCCCTGACCTTACCTAGGGCTGCCTCCGAGATTGTGGATTTGCAGGATTGAGCCAGATGGGGGAACTTCAGTACATAATGCCTGGTGCGACCCTGCGGTCACTCTGGCTTGCACAATGGTCCTCAGTAAACTATGTATGTTTGAGGATGATTCCTACACACCCCCATGCTGGGGGAAGCAAAGAATGAGTGTGACACTCTGTACCTCAGGGGAGTGCCCTGTAACCCCCATATTCCTCATCTATATATAATTGTGATATTGCATATAAAGCATGCCATGTGAGATATCCGGAGAAAGGTTATGATCTGCGGAAACCCACTGTTCCATCTAAATGTGTGTATCATGAAGGCATTTGAAGTTATGAGAATTGTGTTGTATGGTTGTCACCAAAATATGCTGTGGGTTTGGGAGGCACGCAGATACTAGCTCTCCAGAGAGTGAAGCAATGGTAAGGGGGGTAACCAACACCCGGGTGAGTGTTGAACAGACATCACCAGCCATTGTCCAGCAGAGGAGTTACAATTCCTGGGCTTGTGTTCTCCAAGCACATGGACTAAGAGTATAAAACAGAATGCAGGGGCCCCATGATTGGCTTTCTCCTGCCCCCACCTACACTGCAAGCAACAAGGACACTCAGAAGACTGAAGACTCCAGCAGAGGAGACTGGCCAGGTTTCAATGGTGAAACCTGTGTACTATGAACTGCAATATCCAGTGGGGTGAGAAAAACTGCTTAGTCTAGATCAGGGGTAGGTAACCTATGGCACACGTACCAAAGGCAGCATGCGAGCTGATTTTCCTGGTCCCGGTCTGGGGGGCTTTTAAATGAAGCTTCTTAAACATTTTAAAAACCTTATTTACTTTATAAACAACAATAGTTTAGTTATATATTATAGACTTATAGAAAGAGACCCTCTAAAAACATTAAAATGTATGACTGGCACGTGAAACCTTAAATTAGAGTGAATAAACGAAGACTCAGCACACCACTTCTGAAAGGTTGCCGACCCCTGGTCTAGATGTTGCCCAGTCTAATAGGGTTGAGAGTTTAGACTGCGTGCTTATAAAACCCACCTACCTCCTGGGTGTGGTACTCTGTCCCCTCTAGTGCACCAAGACCACTTAGAGAGAGAGAGAGAGATTAATGAGTCTGGTCTAGAGCCTTAGCTAACAGCCATGTGGGTTTTACCTCATGCAGTAGAGGCTTGTGCATTTAGCTCCAGAGGTCCCAGGTTCAATCCCACCCACCGACAACCAGGGTCTGTTGGCGTTACACTTATTTTATTTTGGTAACTAACTCTGACTTTTTGCCTATCACTTATAATCACTTAAAATCTATCTTTTGTAGTGAATAAGTTTGTTTTACAGTTTATCTTTATGAGTAAGTTTGCCTGAAGTGTGTGGTAAATTTGCTCAGGTTTACAAAGGCAGGTGTATATCCACTTTCCATTGATGAACTGGTGAATCAATTAATATATTTGCACTGCTCGTCTTGAGCAGTGCAAGGTGATATATTCCTGAGGTACAGTGCTGGGAGCTGGGGGGAGTTGGCTGGTGTCTTTCTCTGTGTGATTCATGAGTGGCTCTGGGAGCATTCATGCAATCTAGCTGGGTGTGGGGCTCCACATGCGGTTGTGCTGAATGATGACAGTGCCTGGCGGGGTTTGCTGCTTGTCACTAGCAAAGCATTGAGACAGACAGCCCAGGCTAGAGAGTTCAGGGGGCACTGCGCTCCCACAGTCCCAGGCTGCATGCCGGAGACCCCATCACAATGAGCTGTTGAGGTGTTGGCAATAGAACAGAGAAGATGCCCCCAAATTCACTTCTGATCTCACCTGTAGCACAACAACCTCCAGGGCAACCCTGGGGCAATGGGGCCAGCATTGACTGTGAGGAAAGAGCTCTCCCTCTGAGTCCCTGTTCTCCCCCTGGTTATGGCAGCAGAGATTAAGGCTCGTTACCTGGGTCAGCAGCAGCAGGGAACAGACTGGGGTTAGTCGGGGAAGACTGCATGGTATCTCTGTGCACACAAAGCTGCTAAAGACAAAGGCCTGGTCAGTCTAGGTGCCATGGAAGCATGGGGAAGGGGCAACATGGGGGCAGGTTGTGCCAGGAGGGTGGGATCACAGGCAGTCTGTTCTCGGGGGGGGAGGCAGGGCAAGGTGAGATCAGAGAGGGCAAGCTGTGCCATGGTGTGCGAGGGGACAGAGTGGGGCTAGAGGATGCTAGCTTGTGCCATTGGGTAAGGAGGGGTGGTGGTGGTCAGGCAGTGCCACGGGGGACAATGGGACAGAGGGCACTGGGAAGAGGTGATGGGGGGCCCTGGTGGCACATAAGCATCCAGGGACTAGAGCCTGGGATGGCCGGCAGTCCCACTGTGCCACCCGGAGGCCCTGCAGAGCCGCCCCCATGAAGTGCTGCCCAAGGGACGCAGCGTGACCCCGCGAGTGGCCCCTTGATTGGCCACGCACCCGATTGAACTCGGACTGTGCCCCAACTCTGCCCCCAGACTTCAGCCTGGTACCGCCTCTGCCCTGCTCTGCCCTGGGATCCCAACCGAGCCGGGCTGTGCCCCGACTCTGCCCCCAGACTTCAGCCTGGTACCGCCTCTGCCCTGCTGTGCCCTGGGGTCCCAACCCAGCCGGGCTGTGCCCCGACTCTGCCCCCAGACTTCAGCCTGGTACCGCCTCTGCCCTGCTGTGCCCTGGGGTCCCAACCCAGCCGGACTGTGCCCCGACTCTGCCACCAGACTTCAGCCTGGTACCGCCTCTGCCCTGCTGTGCCCTGGGGCACCAACCCAGCCGGCCTGACCCCCGA